CACCAAGTATAGGGCCAATCCTTTGAGGGATCCAATACAGGCAAATGATTTGCTACATGGATAAAGTGCCCATATAGAAACAGGTTTGAGTGACCTTTTATGGCCTCTAAATCATTAATTGTAGCCTATCATATCTATATGTTCTTTTCCCCTGATCAGCTATTCTGAGATAGGTGCTGGGGATGCTGTGGCAACTGGAAATGCTAACCTAAAGCCCAATATTTGTTATGCCTGTGATATTCTGCCATTAGAGTTCTAGCATTCAGTCATTACGATGCAATGTACTTCGCCAGACCAAGTGGTCCATGAGCTCACTACTGTCTCTCCTGATTGGAAAAGCTCTCCAGGGCCCCAGCAACCCATTTCCATCCATGCTGAGATTTAAAAGAAGCAATAATTTAAAAAAACCTCAGACATGTTGGGGCTTGAAGGTAGGGCTGCTCTGCATGCCAAGCATGTGGTCTAACAGTAAATCTATCTTCCTTTAAAATGTGTGACAATCACAATTGTATCTTTTTGGAGGTTAGTCTCATTGCATGAAATGCCAACTAAAGTGATTTCATGAGCAAGAAGTGTGAGTTGATGTCTGTCTATCTGCTGTACAATCTCAGATTGTTTGAGGTTCTGGACTGCATGCTGTGTACAGCAAATTTCCTACTACTTGTCCGTTGAAACCTGCATTGTTCTTTTACAGTTTTCAGTGGGCAACAGAGTAAGGAAAGTTTTAGATGTGGAACCAGTTACATAATAACCCTAATGCAGCAGATGAAAAAATGGCACTTTTGGGCTGGCTGTTGTTAATTGTGACCTCATTAGAGTGCTAACAGGATGTAGATCCTTAAGTATCAGTCATTGCCACATGGGCCCTATTTATAACTTCTTGATTATTGAATTCTTAGTAGCAAGTGCTACAGTTGTTAGCAGATACTTCTCATGTTAGTAGTTTCAGCAAAGCCATAAATAGTCAATAGGAAGGAAGCCATTTGCCTTCTGATTAGGAGTCCTGGCTAAGGACTTCTGATTGTGGCAGCAGCAGCAGTGTGGAAAACTTTATTTGTGCTATGAAAAAAGTAGAAACAATTACTCCTCTTTCATTAGTTGAGAAGGTGTTTTGTAATGGCAAACCTCAAAGACTGAGGAGAGTTGGCCACAGTTAGCTTCTCCAGCCATATATATCCTAAAGCAGGATTTCTCATCTGGTGCCCTGCTGATGGTTGGATTGCCCCTTGCTCCAGCCACCATGGTTGGGGAAAGCTGTCCCAATTGCAGGGAAGGGAAGAAGCAGTAACAGTGTCAGGCAGGTTGCATGTTGGTGAAAAACATTTAGCTACTTGCATAAATAACATAAACACTTTTTTTTTAAAAATGGCTTTTCAGTTGCCCCAAACTGCCTTATGAAGTGGTCCATAGAAAAATACCATGAGAAAACACTTTTAATTTAGCATTTTAAAACTCTACCAGTGGGAAGACTGCATTAGCCTTATGTGAAGTAGTAATAATACTGCTCATGAAATCATTTCATTTCCTAGTAGGAAATGAAAAGTAACAGATCAGCAGTAACCTTCCCAGGCAGAGTGGTAGTGAGGGCAAATGCAGGAGAATATGAAGCACTTTAGAAAGTGTAGTCGCACCAGATGGATTCCTAAAACCAAACTTATGATCCCTGATGTATGACTCTGCATCATTAAAAATAATATTTGGGGGCCAGTTATATCTCTGTTTAAGCCACCTTAGATATGCTGTGTAGAAAACAAAGATATAAATAATAAATTGCACTGGAAAAGGTTCTTGGTTTTGGCATGCCTGTTTTGTTTTTATTTAAGTTTGGTTGGCTTTGTTCTTCTGTAAAGTTTTCTGGTTTCCCCCGGGCACTGCCATGTCTCCAGCTTGCCCAGTCCCCTCACACCGTAGTTCCTACTATAACTAGAATTGTCCCCTCCAGTCACTGTCCACTCGGTAACATAGTTTCTTCACTCTCTCTCAGCTGTGCTAGAGCTGGATCAGAACTGCTTTGTGGTCGCACCTACCCATGCAGCAGCTTACACTCTGTTGCAGCAATGTTGTGCGGTGCACACAGAAGGCATCTATATCTTTGATGCCAAGGATGGCTCTGTAGAAGACTGTGGTTGCTACTCCCCTCTGACCTCATCACTGCACACTCTAGTAATGTAGGTAGGAATGCCGAAGCCACACGGGATGGGAAGGATCAAGTGGAGTGGAGAAACTGCCCCCATCTCATCCAGTCTGGACTCTGATGCTGGATCTGTTCTTCATCTGTAACGTGAGAAACTACCAAAGTCTGTGGGGGGTTGGGTATGTGGACACAAGTAAATTGACATCTGCGTAATGCATTGCTGTGGGTTGCCGGAGGTTGATTTTGCCTTTTGTAACTGAGGGGTGGAACAGATGGCTTGAGCTTGGTTTAAAGTGGGGTGTCCATTAAAATAAGTTAAGCTACTGGATGAGAATAGCTCTGTTTAAGAACACACTGGCTTTCTAAGCCATGGTTTTTGTTCTATTGAAATTTGGTGGAAGAAATAAGCAGAACAGTGCTCATTTTTTAGTCTTTATTTAGTCATATAAAAAAATTAACACAAAGACTAACAGAATACAGCTGTGCTTTCAATGTGAAAAAAATGGATCAGGGAAAAGAAAGAATACCTGTGAATGTTATCTCTAAATTTATAATTCTAAAATGTGATAAAGACACACCATCTTCAAACATTTTTTTTAGCTCTAATATAATAACTTCATCATTATTGCCATATCCCTCCTCTGGGAAAAAAAAAACCCCACTCAGAAAGAGGTAGAGTCTAAGAGTTTTGCCAAATTGAGCTATTGAGATTTTTGTTGTGGTCAAAAAGATTAATTACTAATTCCACATCCATCTTTTTCATACAGAATTTTAAATAATGGAAGAGTTGCTAAGAAGATGCTTTGGAAGCTTAAAACCTGTTACCTAATCAGTATAAAACACAACCTGGTTCCAGTAAGATTTGATTTTAGCAAAATGCCAAAATATGCATATAAACTGCTCCATAAGACATCAGCAGAAGCATTAATATGAAATGGGCAGCTTTAACAAGCTGCTCTGATAAACTATATGGGGTGTTTGCTCATAAGACCTCAGGGGGAAGCAGTGCGCAGATGGTATAGAATTATGGTGTTGTCTAAGTTGGGATGTTGTAATGCTAGGGGTTTTATCTTTAGAACAGGGGTGGGCAGAAAGTAGATATTGAGATGTTTTAAACTTCCATTCCTGGCATTACTGACCACTGGCCATGCTGGCAGAGGCTTCTGGGAGTTCTGCCTTCTTCTCTTTAGAGGTGTGGCATTGTAATCTAGCAGAACATGGCAAAGGTCCCCTACTCGAGGTGTCCCTTACTTTAAGCTCCACAGTCTTCAGGGCTTGTAACTCAATTCAGGTGGCAATAGTTTTATTAGCAGCTATAGTAAACCATCCCAACACGAGAGTAATGGGATGGTATATAAAAGCTTTAAACACACACACACACACACACACACACACACACACACACACACACACACAGAGTATTGTTAGTACCAAGCAGTATGTGAGGCAGTTATTTTAGTATGCTGAAATACCACATCCTAAGTCCTACAACTCCCAGAATTCCCCTGCTAGCCATGCTGATGTTGTGTGACAAATTTCTGTTCAAGCATGAATAGGAGTGCGCCCTTAAGGTACA